TTCCCTATCTTAGATTTCTCCTGGTAAATATATTTATTTACTAGCAAGTTTGTTTCCTTGAAGGGCAAACAAACTCGCTATGGTCGCGACTTCGGCGCTGTATCACCCAGGAAATTAATTCATGCACTAACTTAGCAAAGTTGTAAAAACACATTAAACGTTTGTAAAAGTCATAATGCGTGACGAGAGGTAACGAATAAATGTTTTCTTTAAAATGATCACTCCCATTTCTTAAGATGCGCCTAACTTCAGATCTCATCGTCATCTACCCGGAGGGGTGACTGATGAAAAAAAAGTCGGATCTTGCACTCTGCAATAGAACAGGTGATTCTGCTCCAAATATTCAACTTAGTTTCAAAAAGTCAACACAAATTCTCTCTTTCATTGGATTCCAGAAAACGGAAACCTTTAAAAAAAAAAGTGCCCTCAGGGGATTTACCTGAAACTTTTTTTCTGAAATAGCCGGAAAACAACATGTATACCAAGTTTCAACTTTTTCCGTTTGCTCTTTTTCCTGGTAAAAAATATTTATTCGGAAAAGCTGATGCAGCCGAAAGCAGTGCTCTGACGTTTTGAAAATGTTACCCACAAAATTTACCCACACAAATATTCATCCAAATCACGCATCTGAAACTTGATATTTTTTCCCAAATTGTCTCAGTAGACACGCCCAAACGAAGTTCCGGCTTTGTATGTCTCTCAGTCGGAAGCAAATATATCTCCGAAAGCGTTTCCTCGCAATAGGGGAGTGCCCGGGGTATTTACCTATATTTACCTATATTTACCTCCGAGGTTGGATTTTTTAAAATTAAATCTGCATCACATACAGGTACCTGTACTTGGTACATGTGTACCGAGTTGTCAGATTTATAAAACATCTCTTGAACGTGGTTAAATTTAGCGTCGGTAACGCTTAGAACTCGCGAGTGAGTGTTATAATTATAGATATTGTTCCTGGGAGAACTTGATTTTACCATCACTTATGAGAATGGACACGAACTTGAAACTCTTGCAATTCCAAGCGACTCCAATTTCAAGCAATTCCAAGTCCTATCCCCTCCTCAGACGTGAATTTATGACTCGAAACTCATTTTAAAAAAAGGAAGGAGAGTTATCTCACCTCGATTCTCGAGTGTGTTCGAGGCCCAGTCGCCCCGAGAAGCGATGAAGGTCCACATGGGCCTCCCTCTGCCCCGTGCGAGGCGGGAGGAATCGATGGTTGCCCCGCGTGGTTGCCCCGCGCTCGTCCATGGCAACGGGGACGACGAATCTAATACGACGATGGTGACTGACTGAAATCGGAGCGATCGAGATCACGCTGATTGCAGCAGCCTCCGCCGAGCAATTCATCAATGAAATGGCGTGCGCGCAGGAATTGAAGAGGACGTCGAGACCCGTGAAACTGCGACGATGCTTTCCGACGTCGACTCGTGGCGGATGCGGGACCTTCACTGCATCCAGCGCCTCGCATCAACAGCGCAGTGCGGACTGAGATAACTCGAACGAGGTGAATGGATGTGAGCCACGTAGATGATGGGATGTGAGCCACGCGTACATTCAGGGGATGGACGCGTGGTTCCTGCTTTCCTCGCCCTCGACCTCCACTTTTTTCGTGATCGCGAAACCTCGACTGCCCCGACCCATTCGGCGATGTACTGTTGCGATCCAAGTTCACTACCGTGGTAGCCAGATGATCTTGACCAGATTATCAGACTGATTACCAGGCAGAATAGATCTGCTTTAAGTCCGATTTATTACGGATGGATAGTGGGCGTCGCCTAGGGAATCGCCATATCCCGTGGCTTCATTAATAATACCCCATAACCCTGACCATGCGGTTCCCTGGCGTGCTTAAGCAAAACTGCGCCGAGTCGACTCACTCGCATAATCCTCGTATCGATGAACGGATGGGACAGAGGCGCCGGCGGATTCATGAGTTATTCATAGGGGGAAAGCCGAGATTGGAATCGCGGGGAAAAAAGGAATTCCCGCTTCAATTCACGTTTTCAGCGCGATTTTTGTTGAGGCAATTCCACAAATGCTAAAATGCCATCTCCAAAAGAATTGTCTTACCTCTGTCTTAAAAATGCCTTACTTAAATCATGAATTAAATTAAGGTTTACCATTTGCATAGGGTCGACCCTTGGCCGCCTTCGGTTTCCATTTGGAATGGATTTCTCCCTCGATCCGATCGACTGTTGTCATCTGCTTGTATCTGACGAGTGAAACAACTATCCCAAGCTTTTGCCTGAGGTACTTGAGGTACCCGAGGTACTTGAGGTACCCGAGGTACTTGAGGTACCCGAGGAAAGCAAACAAAATTAAATATGCTTTTTTGTTTATTGTTATTAATTATTACAATCTAAAGATCTTACAAGATCGGACGCGAGAAACTGCGGATACCCGGGCGCTTCACACGCCAGGTCGATCCCGAGCAAGGGCGGGGCGGGGAGGGGCGGGGACATCACGAACTCCCGTCCGGCCTGACCCAGCCAAGTCGATTCCGATCAAGAGATCGGCCCAAGATAAAGACAGGGTCCGCTCCGTGTTTCGGCCGGTCGCCTGACAATGGACCAGTTCGTCATTTCGCCCCTTCCTCGCTGGTGGTACCAGGTGAATTTTCTGGAACCGGTTATTTATTATTATTATTATTTATAATTTTTTTATTTTTTGGTTAGTGATGAAATGCGAAGTTTCAGCGGCCTGCAATGAACAAAAGTGATTCTTGAACAAACGTTTCCTTTGAATATTTTGCGGGAGTCATTCGGATCGGAGTGAGTGAAATTTATGCATCGAAGAATTTTAATTTTTTTTTTTTACCACTGCAGTGAATTTCTTGAACTTACCTTGCCCATCCCGAGTAATTCGCTCGAAGGGGAATTAGTTTAACTTACCGTCGATTTCTATATTACGATATAGAAAGAGTGCCCATAACATCACAATTTGTTTTCTGCGATATGCTCGAACGAGAACAAGGAGCAAACGAATGAGAATGAAACTTGAGAGGCATGTACTTCTCCCAGTACTGATTTCAGCAGTACTGAGAGTACTGCTGTCCTTTTTTTCAAGCGGTCCATTTTTTTAAGCCAATATCCCTGAGTTAGGCAAACGCGAAGCAATCGGAGTAATTACTTCGATGGAAATATCGGTTCGTTTTCTCTCGGCACACAGGCATAAACGTATAATACGTTTCTGCCACTCTGAAAATAAATTTAGTAATAAATATTTCTAATATATATAGACGATCGTGACTAACTGACGCTAATTCTAACCATGTTCTAGAAAGGTTAGAAATGTGAAACTTGGTACATATATACCTTTTGGGATGCAGAGTTCAGAAAAAATCCGACTTTGGAGGTACATGCCTTGGGGGTACAACATTTGGGGGAAACTTTTTAAATATATATATTAATATATTGTGCTAGATGAGGATGACATTCAGAGAGTCAATGGGATATCCTGTGTTCGGTGGTGTAGTCGTAGCATATCGGACTGGCAATCAAGAGGTTCCGGTTCAATTCCCGGCGACTCCTTTGCATTCTTTTGGTTTCTTTTGCCTTTCATGTCCCGTTACTCATTCCCCCTTCATAACATTATTTTTGCCTGAGTAAAATGGAGTGATATGGAAAGCTGAAATCTGGCAGGGAATTACGTACCGAGACGATAAGTCCGGAAAAATGCCAAATTTTAGATCCATGCCCTGGGGGCATATGTTTCTGAGCCGACGTTTTCAATATTTTTTGTCCTGGCGTATTGAACTAGTGTGGAAAGATGAAACTTGGTACACAACTATCTATTGGGATGCTGCAATAAACTTCAGACGTTAGAAGTAAATGCCCTGGGGGCACGCATTTCCAAGGGAGATGTTATCAAATAATTTTTTTGCATCAGTTAAACTGATGAACATGGAAAGCTGAAACTTTGCATGAATGTGACACCTGAAACAAGGAGTTAAATAAAAATGTTAAGTCTCGATACATCCCCTGGGGAATTTTTTCGAGGTGCGATGTTTTGAAAAAAAAATTCTCGTGGCGAATTGGACAAAAATGGCAAGGTGAAACACACGTATATGTGACATGATATTACTGATCTGAGGGAGCATTCAGTTTTCATGTTGCATCCCCTCCGGGCATAGCGGTAGGGTGGGTCGGCTTTTTCAAACATAATAATATTGAAACGTTGTGGGCATATAGTTCACGGAGGATGGATTTCGGTACAAAAAAAAAATGCTCAGGGCACATATATTGCAAAAGGCGTATTTCACGAATTTTCTGATCCTGCAGAACAGAGGGCGCATGAAAGTTAAAAAACGTGGCAAATAAGTACCTGATGGATAGCTGCGCAAAGAAAAAAATAATACTTTTATATACTTTATACTTTAATAATAGACGATTGTGACTGACGCTAATTCAAAAAAGGGAAACGGATGAAACGTATAAGGCTGATACTGGGTGGCATGGAGTTCCCTGAGTCTCCATTTCAGAAGAAAAATTCTTTTTTGGATCCAACGAATCAGAGACAGAAAATTTAAACTTCCCTCAGAAGTACCTATTTAAAGGTCGAGTACAGGAAAAATCCTACTTTTGAAATATGTCTCCTTAGTGTAGATTATGGGAGGGAAGTATTTCAAAATGTATTCTCCACCCTTACTAAAAGGTACATCAGAAAAGTTTTAAAGTTAGGCACACATAGAATCATAGAAGTAAATAGTTTGATAACAATGAAGTCTTTCGACCCCATATGTCACGTATTTCAATGGGGACGTACTTTAAATACGNACGTATTTCAATGGGGACGTACTTTAAATACGTGTTTCCCATTTCGAAAAAAAAATTAACGAATTTATCAATATTCAAGGTAATCGGGCGCCGAAGGCGCGACCATAACGATTTTGTTTAATATAATAACACTCGCTAGTTTTATTATATTATTTACTTTGTTCCTTCGGAATTTTTTCCACAGGATTTCTGACGGATTTCGTCTCGTTGCGATATTTTCTCATGGGGCATCCTCTCCGATATTTCCTTGCCGGCTCGTGCACAATCTTCGCCCTCAGTGCCTATCTCAACATCTACTGGGATCCTCCCACCCATCCGGGCTCCGTGCGGCTCCGCTCGCTCGCCAACATCACGGACGCGCGGACCGACCCTGAGATCTACTGCGGCCGGCGGAGCATCTCGCGCGGCCCGCACCAGAGGGTCCTCTCCTACAGCCTCTTCGGGGTCTATAGGAATTTCCGAGCGGCGGGTCCCTACGAGACGCTCGTGTCCGAAATCCCGGAAGCCGTCGATAAATGGTACCCAGGTATACCCCCTGGTATACCCCTAGGGATACCCCAAGCGGAAAACGGTCGGAATTTTTTTTTCCTTTTTTTAAGTTGCTATCGTGATGGTGCTCCATGGCATCCTAAGGATCTCGAAAAGTTCTTGGAAATTCGTGATTTATCCATGAGGATCATGATTATTCAATTCGCTCCTACTATGACGCTCCACCTTGGTTGGAAAGAAAATACTCGTGCAACGTTTCCACAAACGTAAAAAATGTCTGAAAAAAATTTATTCATGATCGAAAAGACATGAAAGGCAATCGCGTATTCCCCATGTTCTGCTACTTATTGGCAACATTGGGATAAAAACTATAATCCAGATATGGGATCATCCCATTCTCGAGGTGTCCTGTACGTCATTATCTGCATGACAAAAAGTTGTCCAAAATGCCTACATCTAAATGTGCTGTTTAATTCTCTTTCCACTGTGAACGATGGAGAAACACTTCCAAAAGTGATCAGTAAACTATTTGAAAAGGGAAACTTAAAAAAAAGCAGTTTTTCGATATCGGATTGTTTTTGCACACGGTGAATATCTCATTATCAATGTCAATTTTGAAAAGGTTTTTGCATGCAGCAAGCAGCGTCATTTCTGTCGTATCATTTCTTTGCCATTATTTTTGGCAATGATCCGACTGGAAGGCAAACCAACTTGTGAATGCCAGCCGAATGTCCGTAAACACAATTCCCAGTCCGGATTTCTGCCGCCCATCTGGTGTCATTAATTTGGTGTAATGGGACGCGGAAGAATGCTGTAATGGGAGGCGGAAGAATGCTGCAATGGGGTGCAAAAATGGATATTTCAATTCTGGAAGCATCTAATTACAACCATATACTGCATGGCAAAAATTTTGCATAATTCGAATTTCCCAATTGGCAGCACCTTTACTCAATTGCAGCTTTGAAAATAGAGGGCAAATGTACCGAAAAGGAAGTGCAAATTATGTAAAATGAATTAACACCTGGTAACTATTGTTGTTAAGGTACAACTGACATGTTGCAGGTCCATCATTAGGAACCAAATTAAAAAGTTAATAGTAAAACGGGAAATAGATTCTAATTTTACCCTTCGATTGCTCCCCTTTTAACATAGTAGCACTTCATCATATAATTAAAATTGACATTGATTTAATTTCCGATTTCTCTGCCTTCCTGACGGCAGGTTGGGTGGTGAGGATATACACGAACTACTCGAGGGAGAACGAACAAGTTGCGTCATGGATGAAATCCCTGGAAGACAAATTCCCCAACCTAGACTTCTGCCACGTGGAAAACCTCCCCGGGATCGTTGGAGACATCCAGACGCGTCAGAGCAACGGGAGGGTGTGGCGATACCTCCCCATGATGGACCCCTTCGTCGACACCTTCGTATCCAGGTCAGGCGCCATCCAGGTCAGGCGCCATCCAGGTCAGGCGACGTACAGATCAGGCGCCGTCCAGGCCAGGCGCCGTCCAGGTCAGGCGCCGTCCGTCCTGCCGCCTGCGATGCGCAGCTGGAGGGACGGCGTGGAACGGAGCGCCTCCCCTAATTAAAGCACAAGGATGCCTGAAATGTGAAACTCGAATTTATTTTGCAGTAAGATATAAATATAACATCGCTGGTTTCCCAGGAACCTCTGGGCAGGAAATATTCGCAACAGCTCATATAAATCAGTTCGTTATACTGTAGAGTTCTCACGGGTAGAGTCTCCCGAGGGAAGTGGCCATCGATTTATCGTTTCTGCTGATACTACTGACAGGAGAAAGGAGCCAATTTTCGCTATATGACCAACGCAGTAAGATCTCTGCTATGATAATCACACTTTTTACAGGAGGGAATATCTTGTTCTAGGAGTCTGAACCTTGAAATTGCGACCTGTTCTGGAATAAATGTGACCTGCTATTATTTTGACTATATCGAAAAGGCACTTCGAAGTAAGTTTTTATGAATTGACAGTGTTGACTTTGCCACTCATAGAATATATTCCTGTGTCCAACCTACCGCAGCAAAATGTCTCAAATAATGCAATCGGGCACCCCTGGCCTAGAGAAACTATGGACTCGCCATCTAATGCAAATTGACGATCCTGAGTGAGTTATGGACTAAATCGAAATGCTTAAGGTGTCTGCAGGACAGCCGGTACTAACATAGTGAAGTGGACGATGGTTGTATATGTCTATATGTCTATAGCATTCGGAATTTACGCTCCGAGTTTAAACATATTGTAATAGCGTTTCTATGTAAGTGACTTATCTAGCTTTCCACAGCTGTCAACAGATTTCAGATTAAATTTGTCATTCCAACGCAGTCACGCTGAACGTAACAGAAGTAACGCTTGAAAACCGCACTTACCTGTACAATATGAGATGTGCTCCAGGTGACGTCGCCTACTTCGCTGATGGCGAGCAGGCGACCCCACGCATGCACGGGCTTTTCTAGCGCCACCTCTTCTAGCGCCAACTTTTCTAGCCCCATCTCTTATACTCTTCACCCAACTGCATGAAAGTCATACCACGATTCTTTTTTATGTTGACATCATTGGAAAGTTGAATGAATGTTTTTTACGGAATCACTATTGCAATTTAAGCAAACTCTTGAAGGTCAGTGCTGTGGAGTGGTAAAGATAACCCAATTTTTTTTCGCCCACCCTGTACTGTTGGGAAATTGCGGCCGAATTATTCCATGCAGCACCACTTAAGTTTCTCATTCTTCATTAGAGACTCTGATTCCCCGGTGTCCGAGCGTGAGTCCGCTGCCGTGAAGGAATGGATGGAGTCCGGGTATCTCTTCCACGCGATGAAGGATCACCCGGCTCACCACGGTCCTGTCTTCGCGGGTGAGCCGCTTTCTCCCAAGTCCTCCAGAAATACGAATAACTTGGAATAATTTTTTATATTTTTTTTTTTACCTGGTTGATTCTGATTTATGTGCATCGCGACGAGGGATATGTCTGCAGTAGCAATGTGACATGTTGGGGCATTGCCCAACACCGAGATAGAAATTGGCACAAATAAAATGTTCTAATGAATTTCGTCCCGGCTGCAGCTTCAAGCACTACTTCGTTATGTTTTGTTAGATTTTTTCTCATTTATTGATTTTATGTCATCGTTCCACGTTGACGCACCAGAAGAATTCCCAAAATATTATTTATAAGTCCATATCACGATTTCATAACATTTTGAGACTGTTCAATCGAAATGAATGTGAAACGCTTTTATCCAAAATATATAATTCAGGAAATTTTTCGACATTCCAAGTTAAATTTGGATATCAGGTCACGTGCGACGAGGAAATTCAAATGCTTCCCTATGCCGGATAGGAGTTTAAAAAGCAAACTTACTCGCAATACAATGTTGAATGGCGACGTAATCTCTAATGGCGCTCTTTGCGTTGCTCGTGCTTCATTGAGGTCGTTTGGTGGTGGTGATTCGACTCAGATGCGTAGAATGAGGCGGTTAGGCAGTTACGATTGGTTTTACTTTGCACCCATGGATTCATAATGGGGGGGGCTTCCGTTAAATTCCGGGTACCTGTTAGACGATGTTGAGCACCGGCGCCACTATGGCAACTTAAATCAGAAAATAACCTCTTCAGAGTTTAATTCATTCATTGTCTGTTTTTCTAAAATATCAAACGTTTGAAATTTAACAGGTCTTTGGGGCGCGAAGGTGTCGCAGAACCGAAGTTTCGTCCACTATCTGGGGAGAAAAATGATTTTCGAGAGCAAACCCAGCAACGACGAGGGCTTGGATCAGTATCTTCTCCATTACGTCTTGTGGAACGAAGCCAAGGAACACTTCGTGAGTCCCGTCCATCTTCCAACGGCTGCCATCGCATGGAAGGCCATCCACCCTCTCGGTTCCAGATGGTGCACGCCAGCTTCACCTGCGACGAATTCGTCGGCGGAGGGATGAGACCCTACCCGACCCGTCGGGAAGGAGGCTTCTGGCTCGGCTCTGGTACCCGACACGCTCCGCTAGTGAAGGAGTGCCCACTGAAATGCAGGCCGAAGGAGCACCCCGACTGGGTCAATTGCTGAGGTGGAAGCAAGGCTACCTCGTTGAAATGAGCTATCAAGCATTCCCTCTAGGCTGAAAGACCCCATAATTCATTATGTACCAGTTTTCTATATAACGATTACTGACTCCGCTTTCCTCGTGTGTCCATTGAAACTGAATTTTTTTGCCGTTGTACCAAGGGGCGCCCCAATACCTAATAACAATATGCGAGAAACCATCTCGAGTGGTCTTCGCATATCTACCTGAATCGGCCAAAGTAGCCATGATTGATCCGAAACTCATACTAACACAGTCTAGTTGTCCTGATAATGAATAATAATGAAGATGCAATCTTCCTTTGGATGTTCATAATATGTCACCATCATGGATCGATATTTTGTCAAAATGAGCTTCATCTGGCCAGAATTTCCCCACATATTCCCTCAACTTATTCCAATTTACTGGAATGATTATTGACCGAGGCACGCTGAATTTCTACTCATGCCGGAGCGAAACAGGAGATTCGAAAGAAATTCGTCGAACAAGTGGAATCGTCCTAACGCCCTACCACCAGTGTTTCGTCAACCCATCCGAAGGTTACGTGAAGGGAGGCAGTCTGGTTTATCGAAGACCGAAACGGGAGGGGGGGGGTGTTGGCACTTATACACTTCGGAGACGTAACACTTTCAGAAGTACCACCAACCCACCAACCCACCGACCCACCGACCCACCAACAGTTGACACTACCCTACCCGACGTGGAGCCTCTCGTCGCGGAGACTCCATGGAGGAAGTTCTGCAGACCATCCTCAGCCTTAAGAATGGGAAATGACCTGATGTGGATGACATCTGGGCAGCGGCGCTGAGAAGGCAGTATAAGTTAGTTGAAAGATGATGTAATCAAGAATGCAATATCGAGATTTGTTGTACCAGCTAGAAGCATTTTTTTAGGTTGCCAAGGGTGTTTTTGAGGGAATCTTGGCATAAAATGATAAACCGGACTTTAACAGCCCCCACATGGTCAAATTCTCGTTTCGTCGAAATTAGTTTCGTCAACATTCGGAAACTATTGACAAACGACACTTTTATTTATTTTCAGCCGGACAAATGCAAAAAAATATGCAAAAATGAGTATTCGGTCATTTCAATTTGGTCCCAAGGGGCCATATTCTCCGTACTCCTGAGGAAATATAGCCACTTCTCGACGAAAAAAAAGGTGTATAAGCTACCTATGAAAAATTCTTGAAAATACTTGAATACAGAAAAAACTTGAGGACCAGAAAAGAAGTCGGCATCATCACGAAGAATCCACGCTCCCTAAGCCACGGTCCAGCGGACGGAGTTTCGACGGTTCCCTAAATGAACATTGGCAAACAAAAAGCTCAACAGCCTGGTGCTGAAACAATTCACGATTTTAAAGCTGATATCTGGCAGTATCACGTCCTTTCGCCCAGCTGTGCTCAACTTTTTCTATTAAAGATCGTGCCGAAACTTATTTGAGCCAATAAGTCCAGATTCGTACGTGAATTAGGAGAGTTTGGCAACGCATCGAGAAGTAAATATGTTTATATGAAAAGCATAGTGAGCATAGTGAGCATAGTGAGCATTCGAAACTTAGGCGCTGTCGCACAGCTAACAACCTTGCCATCAAAGCTTCATGTGCAGAATTAACGAGAGAGAGGCGAACATTATTGACTCGTTGACCGCGTTCCTTATTGTTCTATTTGATAACCATTTCTTTCCCATACCTCAATCAAGCGTGGCACCGTCTTCGTTTTCGTATCCTATTGAATCTGCTTCGATGTTCGCTCTGCATCTCTGGCGAAAGATAAGTCCCTATCTTCCGAAATCTTTTCGAGCCGTTCTGGACGAGTACGAGTGACTCATTCAATCGCGCTCACTTGAGGAGTTAGTGATACGAAAATACCGATTGCAGACCAGGTTGCAATGGCCGGTTGCCATTGTGGATTTAAAGGTACTGACTGGATCATTCTTACTATTACCACCTGCCTACCCTCCATACATGGAAGGCATTTGTGAAGGATTAATATATAATACTACACGTGCATATGATGCATAACTATATTACATGAATAAAATTAATAAATTTAAAAAGTAAAATACATATACACTCCTATATAAACCTCTCAATCATGGAAAGAAGCGCTCTTGTTAGGAACGCCTCATAATCTTGGTTGCAGAGAAAAATGCAACTATTGATGACTAAATCGCACGCACACACACACACACATGCGCTCACGCACTCTCCCCTCCAAGGACATTCATCTCTCCCTATCTCGCACACACAAGCGTTCATTCTAGGAACGCCTGCTCCCCTTCAACATGTTTCCGTGTGCTGACGGGATGTTGTGAAGTGCCTGTGCTGACTCTGAGTGTGGAACATTCCTGGGCATAGGGAAATCGGGGCGTGGAGATTAAAAATAATGGTTGGTTGGATATTGTAGAGGAAAAGTATGCATTTATATTGGCTCACAAAGCCCATTTAAATCCACCCGTGCTAGGCATTTACAAATGCAATGACTTTTAAAAGAGATACGAATTATGTTATGTTGTACTGCTTCACTTCAGAAACAAGTGAGAGTCTCGTTTTTTTTGTTATGATGAATAACATTTACAATACAAATTAAAGACAACGCAAATGTTTGGAATTAAAAAGGGTTAAGAATGTCTCAGAATTATTTAAAGGAATTCATACAGGGTGGTCCAAAATGTACCTACCACGTTTAAACTCAATTTTCTCCACAACAAGTGATTATAATTTGAAGAAACTTTGCTGACACACTGAAGTACTCAAGCCATTTGTTTCTCATTTCTATTTGTTCGATTTTGTATATACCAAAAAATGGCGGCCTACAGTACCGAGCAGCGGATATGCATCATCTGTACATTCGATCGTCTGAAAGCCCAGAAAATGTCAGAAGAGCGTTCCAGGCAAAGTTTGGCGTCAGGCGCAACATTTCAAACTTCGTCAAGAATTTTCGCAAGACAGGATCAATTTTGGACGAATTCTCTCAGAGCGGCAGGCCTTCAACGGGAAGAACTGAAAGGACTGAAACTGCAAAAGATCGTCGAAGTTGAGGGCAAACACATTGAACACATCGTAACATAAATAGCTTGAGATTCCGATTTGAATGGTATTTTAATATTTGAATGAGATTTTTGTGCCTCATCGTTCCAGTGAAATAAAGCATTAAACTTGGTAGGTACATTTTGGGCCACCCTGTCTCATCTTTATTTTCGAATATTGAGTTTCATGAAGCCAACAGACAATATACATTTGTTTAAGCAAATGACTTACACTTAAAAATGACAACGTCTAAAGGAAACACGTAAGGGAGCGTATACGTGGTATGAAAAAGCGCAGAGCATGTCGACTAGATTTCAAATGTCCTGGAATTTTTTTTTCTTTATTTTGGAAGCAGGGACCGCTCTGAGTGGAGTAGGGATTCTCGCTAATATTATTTGAAGGGGTTTCCTTTGTCATAGGAGGTTTACTTGCAGTTTCTTCAGTAGTATGCTGGGGCTGCCATGGCCTGGCCTATACCATAGATATATACGCTTAACGCGCGAATCCTACAAGACTATGCAACTAGGCCATAGGCTATACCATGAGAACATGGATTTGCTTGTACTACCCACTACCAAAATGGTTCCGGCAGGCTGATTTTCTCTGGAAACTCTTGTTTTTCATTTCCCAAATAAATGGAGAGTTGCAATCAAAGAACCTCAAGATGGTAGACAACACATTGGTTTGTGGGCTTACTGCAGACCAAAGCAAATCGCGATATTACAAGCACATAACACGTTTATTAACTCTCAAAATAACGCCGAAATTGTTCGGGCACCAAATCACACTAACTAACCCTTATGGCATACCAGTGAGAAATCTCATCGATGGTTCCAAAACCAAGATATGGAGGTGCTACCATGGATTTTCGGCAGTTCAGATATGTCGCCGATCGAGATTTCCTGGGTAATTTTGATGTCTGGCTTCAGAAAAGGACGACTGAGAACCAAAGAGGGATTACAGGCAAACCTACAGGAATTTTGGGGCGCCTTCACTTATTCGACTACAACTCTCCAGTTATTTGTGAAATGAAAAATAAAAAAGAGTTTATAGAGAAAATCAGCCTTCCCGAACCATCTATGAAGTGGGTGGTATAAGACACACCCTGCGAGGAGGAACACGAACCCTCTGAATGCCACGCGGCGGATCCATAGGCTCAATCGCGCGAAGTCCACTAAGCTATGCCTTTTTAGGTTATAGTCTAGGCCATAGATCCCTGTGATTCCTGACGTATGGTACAATCTGTACAGGGGATGCATGGCACCAAGAGGGTTGGATATTTTTTTTATTCTAGTCACAACAATGGAAAACTCGAGCCGCTCGAGTTTTCATCAACTCAAGCCGCTTTAAATTCTTTTGATATGGTCTGTTTAATCCAGCATACTACAGGGTGTGTCTCTTGACCCATCCGCATCGGACGAACGAAGGGAAAAATGTTTTTCCCTTCCGCCAAACATTTAGCCTGAGTAACCATGCACTTTTTGCCCTCCTGCTTCCGACTTCGGTTGCAGAATTCCACGTCAGATAGTCGAAGGAATCCCATTATGCGAATGGGTTATGAGTATTTTAAATTTCTCCTTTTTTGGATAGGCCACGTGCGCTACCCATTCGAAGTTGCGCCATTTTCGTAGTTTTAAAAATAAAAACCCCGTACTTCTCGAGTTCCATGATTCAACAAAAGAATCGCTCTTAGTAAGAATCCCTCTCTCCCACTCATCCACCCGCCCACCCGACTACAAACCGGCGCGAGCACACAAACAAACCCCAACCCCCCCCCCCCCACTCACACACACAAGCAAACACACCCACACATACTCGCTCACACTAATTCCCTTCAACATCATCTTCTTTTGAGTGTATTAGTTTTTTATTAATTTCATCCCATCGCATTGAAACTTACATCGGTTGTATAACATACATCTCTTCTCTGTGCTTGAGTACCAAATAACCACAGTATTGCCCATAATTATTGATGATCAGGCTCGCTTTTTGCAAATAACGGTAATTTCCAACATCCTTAACATTATGAACTTCCCTTGCGCATTTCCTACCCATCCGCTCTCTAATCAATTCTGACCATAAATTATTTTGTTGACAGGTGAAAAAACATATCGTCTTTTAGTTCATGACCATGGGTTCGTCAGAGGAGTTGAGAAAGCAAGGAAACCGGCTCTACTTTAGCGTAGAAACTCCGCCCGAAAGCGAAGCTGACCGGGCGCGTCTGGAGGACGCCATCAAGCTCTACAACCGGGCGCTCTCGGCGGCCCGGGGCTTGCAGGACTATCTATCAGCGCTAAAGAACTTGGGGATGGCCCATCTGAAGATCTCTGCGTATCCTTCGCTCTCCTCGAAGATGGTCATTTATCATCTTGAACAGAGCGCATTTCCGTTTGCGAAGGCACTGGACGCCACGGAAGGTCAGCCGGCAAGCGCGTGGGTTGCGGACTTGAAGTCCCGGGTTCAGGAGGCCACCACGAGCTCGCTGGGCACCATCAGGGACTTGGAGGACTACAGGGACAAGGAGACTGCTTTGCTGAGGCTTTGCGAGGTGGTGCATCGCGGTCAGAAGTCCATCGTGTTCTTCGAGATGGGGAACCTTTACTACGGCGTGGGGGTCGTCGCCCGAGACGCTCGAGATTTCAAGAAATGCCTTTCTGCATTCGAGGACTGCAGATTTCCATACGCGGAAGCCCTGCGCTACCTCCCTCACGCGTTTTCAAATGACGACAAACTGAACAGTGAAATTGAAGAGCAAATGATGACACTCGATGTTAATCTCTCGATAGCCCAGGCGATGCAGGCGATCTATATCGGCGAGGAACTCCAGAAGAAGGCCGTGTATGATGAGGAAACAACGGACGTGGAGCTACTGTGGGACTCTGCGGACTGGTTCACGAAGGCAATCCTCTGCTCCCGGGACCGAGATCTCGAGAACGAAGCCATCGCCTCTTCCAAGCTGGGATTGATATTCATTCAGCTTCTGAACCTTAAAGAGAAAGGGTACAAATTGCTGGAATACGCATTGCAACTGACCGAGGCCCTGAAACCGAGGTCGTTCGTCACCCAACCCTGGCACCAGGAGTGCGTCAAGGCGATGAGCGACTACCAGCAGAAGCGCCAGGCGGAAGAGGATGCCAAATTGGCCAAGGAGCGGGCCCCCTACATTGAGAAGCTGAAGGACCTCCTCCAGGTCGTGAAGGAGGCGGCTGACGACTCCCCGTACAAGCTGCTTCGCCACGTCTATTCGAAGCATCCCCCGAAGAAGGGGAAGCTGAAGGATCCCCTCGATGCATCCACGCTGAAGAAGAGGCTGAAGAAGGCGCTGGTTCATTACCACCCGGACAAAAACACAGTGACGGAGCACGGGATGGAGTGGTTCGTCCTGTGCGAAGAAATCTATAAGTACTTGTCGGTGAAGTACACCATACAGAAGGCGTGAACATTAATGAATAATTATTTTTATTTTTCCCTAATCAAGATCGAGAATGGCAGCAAGACAGGGTGAGAAGCTATCCCCGTGCTCGTTCTGCTGTCATCGCACTCTACCTAGTAGACTTGTTGTGACCTGAGTTTTTTTTTGTACTGTATGATTCATCCAAATTCTTTTTACCTGCATTTTCATGGTGTGAAATATGTGTCATGGACCTTCGTAGTTATCTAAGCGTCATGTAAACAGTCATATATTGATTTCCTCCTTGCGTTTCTTCTCATGACACCTTCACCAGCAAAACCGAGAAACGATCTGCGAAATGAACGATGGCGAGAGAGCAGCGTACGAAGTGCAATCAACATAGGAGCAGTTGCTAATAAATCTGAGAATAAAATGTGAGCTAATGGGTACACCAGAGATTTCTTGTTCTTACTTCCTGAAAGTTCAGTAGTGTAAGTCTAGGAAGAAACTAATTGGAGGGCACATCTAGGTGCTTAATATGAAGTTAGTTTTCGTTAAGCCCAATTAGAGTTGAGCAGTGTAGGAGAAAACATCGTTTGAATAACATTTCCGGATTGAGATTCTACTCGGCAGGATGAACAACAAAAAATTATTGCAAGCTGGAAAGTGCCAGTTCACATTTCTCGGCTACTCGAACTTCATATTCACGGCAACTTGACTTTTGGTGGAGCGACCTAAAACTCACTGTCAAGAAATCTCCAGTGCTTTCGGTCCGTTGTGCACCGCCCACAGATCAAGAAGTAACCGGTGCCAGGTCCAACGTTTGAGCAGATGCCGAGACCCAACATCACCTGCGTCGTGCTAACGTAGATCTGATCATTGTCGTCCACGGCCAGTTGGCCACCGTCGGTCATGCAATTTTCCGGGGTCTGCTTCCAGATCTTAGTGTTGATGACGACGGTGTTCACGTACATCGATATGAGTTGCACTTGTATGAAGCCTAATTAATGCAATCCCATTTTTAGCGTTTTTTTTTAGGAATAATGCCCAAATTGCCGCTTTTAGAACTCAAAGAAAAAGAGAATGTTTCAAAGTTGTGCTCCTCCCGTGTTCGGGTCAAATGGAGAGACTAACGTGCAACCAGAATTCTTACCGGCTGTTGAGAACCTGTCCAAAACCTTTCTTTTTCGTCTTTGTTGCTTTTCCACTGTGATTTTTGAAAGTCCAGGTCCTTATGATCTTTCCAAAACCCAATTAAATAAAACTTCTGAAATACTCAGGGGCCCCATCCGATCCAACGACGGACCAGCGAGAGGAACCATGCAAGTATAGGACCCCACGTCCATACACCCCCCACCCCCATAGGACCCCACGTCCATACGCAGAAGCAATGCGCTACCTCGCTCACGCGTTTTCAGATGATGACGCGCTGAACAGTGAAATCGAAGAGCAAATGAAAACGCTTGATGTTAATATCTCGATAGCCCAGGCGATGCAGGCGATCTACATCGGCGAGGAACTTCAGAAGAAAGCCGTCTACGATGAGGAAGCAACCAACATGGAGCTTCTGTGGGACAGTGCAGATTGGTTCACGAAGGCAATCCTCTGCTCCCGGGACCGAGATCTCGAGAACGAAGCCATCACCTCTTCCAAGTTGGGATTGATATTCATTCAGCTTCTTAACCTTAAAGAGAAAGGGTACAAATTGCTGGAATACGCCTTGCAACTGACTGAGGCCCTGAAACCGAGGTCGTTCGTCACTCAACACTGGCACCAAGAGTGCGTCAAGGCGATGAGCAGCTTCCAGCAGAAGCGCCAAACGGAGGAGGACGCCAAGTCGGCCACGGATCGGGCCCCCTACATGGAGAATCTGAAGGACCTCCTCCAGGTCGTGAAGGAGGCGGCCGACGACTCCCCGTACAAGCTGCTTCGCCACGTCTATTCGAAGCATCCCCCGAAGAAGGGAAAGCTTGAGGATCCCCGCGATGCATCCACGCTGAAGGAGAGCCTGAAAAGGGCGCTGGTTCATTACCACCCGGACAGAAACGCCGTGAAGGAGCATGGAATGGAGTGGTCCGTCCTGTGCGAGGAAAACTACAAGTACTTGTCGGTGAAGTACACCATATAGAAGGGGTGAACACCTATGCTTTCCATTCCTTTTCCCATCATCCTAATCTAGAATCTAAGCAAGAAAGACTGGCACTCTATCCCCGTGCTCGCTCTGCTGTTATTGTGCTCTTGAGCTTTTGGGATCCTTGCTATTTGTGTACAGCCTGATTCGGCCAAGTTTTCTTCACCTGTTATTTCGTTTTGTGGAATAAGTTCCACTATGACCTTCGTGGTTATCTTAGCATGACGTAAACATTCCTATCTTGATTTCCTCCTTGCGTTTCTTCTCATGGCACCGTCACCAGCAAAATCGAGTACCGATTAAGGTCGGTAACTTGAGCCTGGAATTACTTTCTGACTCATTTCGTAGTCCTACGTCGACCAGAGAGGGCACGCCCTCCCCGCTCCGATCTGGACTGTCGCGTTCGCTTCAAAGCCCAAGGCATTTTTCGAGGAAGAAGAGAAGAACGTTGCGAAAAGAAAAACAGAAAAGAAGATCGTCATCATGACTCTAGCCAGTTGGAGCTCGGGGCTTGTACTTCGCCTTCGTTAAAATTCTTAATGAAAAGGTTGGCCATTGACCGGCAGATTTTACAAAACCTAAATTAAATAAATAAGAAGGTATAATGTAGGTTATTGTAGGCTTCGGCCCGGGCTCTTGTCGGGCTGACCGAAATGCGTTTTGATTGACGGTGGCGTTCTTCCTTGGGATCTCAACGAAAGGACCTCGTTTCCAATATTTCAGGGTAGCCGAGATGGGCAAAATACACCTTGACGCAAGATGTAAATTGCGTACGGATCCAACCCTGCTGGACTTTGTGAAAGCCGTCGTCATTGCAGTCACCTAACAGAGCTGCCTGTGTTTTTTAGTTCCTTCGTGGAAGGAGAGATGGCGAGAGAGCAGCTTGCGAAATGCATTCAACAAGAGTGCAATTGCCAATTAATCGGAGAGTAAAATGGGAGCTGATAAGATTCCCTATTCTTACTCCCTGAAGGTTTGCTAGTTTTCAACGGTGGAAGTCTAGGACGAAATTGTTTTTCGCGCACGGAGCGGCGCGTAGTATGAAGTGAGTTTTCGTTTAGCCCACGTCGCACATTGACGTGGAGAGGATGGACCCCTCTCTTTCGGAAGCCCATACATATCAAAAATCATACATGGCAATACGAAGAGTTTGATTGAAACGCGAACCGTGCGATTCGAAATCGACGTAGAATAACCTTATTGGACTGGGCTTCGAAAGCAATCGCGACCGCGGTCGTCATCGGGATTCTGGGTCGAATAGAAACGGAGGAGAAACCTGAAGGTGATGATGATGTCGTATGACCTGGACGGGGTGATTTCGGGCGCCGCAATTGGCGACCGTGCCAGCTGCCTGCAACAGAAATTCTCTGAAAATGACACTTTACGGCCAAAACTCGAGGAGGAGAGGCATCCAGGAGGCTCCCGCCGAAGCGGCCCGCCGCGTCGACGCCGAGTGCCTGCTGACCGGGCGCGGAGAACTCACCAACGAGTTGGGAGGCGATCGCCGGATGGTGATCATATCGAAGGGCTGTAAAGACGTTTTGCGTAATCATTTTTTATTTATTTAAATTAAGAGTAAATTGTGTTTTGCTAAGTAAAAGGGGAACTCCGCCCATCTCACCTCATCCTTAATGAATATTTTGAGTTATTGATATTAATTAATCAATTAATAGTTATCCTTCAGGGAGAAGAAGCAGGGTTGCAGGGAAGCCGAAATATTTTTCTAAGCCCTTATTTCCTCCCCGGCAATTCTATTTGCATAATGACAAGCGGTAAGATCCAGTTGAACAGTCAAGGAGCAAACATCATTTAAATAATATTTCCGAAATTGCGATTCCACCCAGCGGCATGAACTACCCAAAAATATTCTAGGCAGGATTAGTGCCCTTTCACAATTCTCAACAGCTCGACTTTGATCTTGACGGCAACTTGACTTTCGATCGATCGACCTCAAGCTCACCGTCGAGAAGCCTCCAATGATGTGGGTCCCGTCGTGCTCTGCCCGCCGATCCGGGAACATCCGGTGGCAGCCTCCGACGTTGGAGCAGATCCCGAGACCCGAGAATCACCTGGGTCGTGCGGTCGGGGATCTGCTGGCTGTCGTCGGGAGCCGGTCTGCCTCACAGTCTGCCTGGGGCTGGCTCTACATCTTGGTGTTTCTGACGACGGTTTTCACGCACATCGGTGTGGCTGGCACTTATATTAAGTCTCCAAAGGAATGCAATGCCATTTTTAGTGCTTATAGGAATTAAGCCCATACTGCCGCTTGCAGAATTCAAACAGAAAAAGAATGGCTCAAAGTAATACTGCCATAAAAAGAATGGCTCAAAGTAATACTGCCCATAAAAAGAATGGCTCAAAGTAATACTGCCCATAAAAAGAATGGCTCAAAGTAACACTGCCCATAAAAAGAATGGCTCAAAGTAATACTGCCCATAAAAAGAATGGCTCAAAGTAATACTGCCCATGAAAAGAATGGCTCAAAGTAACACTGCCCATAATAAGAATAGCCCATAAAAAGAATGGCTCAAAGTAATACTGCCCATAAAAAGAATGGCTCAAAGTAATACTGCCCATAAAAAGAATGGCTCAAAGTAATACTGCCCATAAAAAGAATGGCTCAAAGTAATACTGCCCATAAAAAGAATGGCTCAAAGTAATACTGCCAGAATTATTGTGCGGCCAGAATTATTGCTGGCTGCTGAGAACCTGTCCAAACTTATGTTGTTCGTAGCCGTTGCTTTTCCACTGAGATTTTTTGAAATTCCAGGTCCTTATGATCTTTCTGAAACCTTCCAACCGAAATGTTTTTACTCCAAAAAAATTGGCAAACGGTTCTCGAGCTGTTCTGGAATGTTCCTGGATATTGATCTACTTCTCATTCCGAACCGTCTGCAGTTGATAATGGGAGTGGTCA